TCAAACTATTCGCGGGAGGAAATGCAATATTTTCCTCCCATGGTATGTAAATAGCTATTTTCTTCCAAGGGAAGAATGGAAACTTCCAGTGGAAATCTTCCATACAAGAAGTATGAAATGTGGAGGTATGTCAGTTACTGTTGACGAAAAGTTCTTAACAGTACATAGGTATGTTTTTATGGATATTAATTTAAATTAAAAAATGTTTAAAAATGGCAAAACTAGATATTAATAATACACTTTTAACTGTCAAAAGTTTATTCATATTTTTATTTTGTTTTTATTAAAAACACATTTTTATTTTTAACATTTGATACAAAGACAATAACAAAAAACGTCTAAAAGTGTTTCATACATTTTCGCCAAAAGTTTTACTTTAACAATTATATAAAATGTTATAAATAGGTCTTAAGTTTTCGCTTGAGGTGTAAGTTTTAAGCCGGAAAAAGTAGGAGTAGCAGTAGCAGTAAGCCAGTGTTGCCAATATAATAATATAAATGCTGCAATGTGAATGGCTGGAGTAGCGTTCAGTAGCAACCAAGGTCGTTGGCGTAAGAGATGGCCAAGTTTTAACTTTTCTTGCTGCTACTCCTACTGCAACCAATCACATTGCAGACATTTATGAAGACATTTATTATATTATATTGGTAACACTGGCTTACTGCTACTGCTACTCCTACTTCTTTGTCCTACTTTTTAGAACTATAACTCCGGCTTTAGAGCATTGGGTGCCAAACCCTTGTGTTTTATTTTAGCGTGCCTGTATACACCGGTTAAATTTGAGAATTTTTTGTCGCAATGCCAACAATTGTATTTTTTTCTTTGTAAAGGATCGACGTGTTGGGTTTGGACGTGCGTATGTATGTTTCTGTGTTTGAACGTTTTCGGGCAATGCGGACATTTGTAGCGATGGCCGTCGTGTTTTTTGTCGATGTGCGCGATTTTGGTTAGCCTGCTTGAAAATTTTTCGTCGCAAAGTGGACATTCGTATTCCTGGTTTTGTATGGCGTGCGTGATTCGAAGGTGTTTATCCAAAGCCGCCTTCTTATTGTACGTTTTTGAGCACTGCTGGCAGGGGAATCTCAAACCTTCGTGTATCGATTTAAGGTGCAGCTTTAGATTGTTAATGCTCGCAAGCGTTTTGCCGCATTGCAAACAGTTGTATTTTTTTGTTATCGAGGGATCGCCGTGTTGGCTTTCAACGTGGTTTCTTAAAATAGCGTTGCTCGAGAACGCTTTCGGGCAATGCGTACACGTGTATTTGAAACCTTTGTGTTCTATATTAATGTGTCGAGTGAAAGAGAGTTTTTTTACAAAATTTTTGTCACACTGTCTACATTGGTACTCTTTTCTACCGCCATGCATTATTTTAACGTGCCGTTTTAAATGATATATTCTTCCAAACGTATTCGGGCAATGCGGGCAATTGAACTTGCGACCCTCGTGTTTCGACCTGATGTGATCTTTTTTTGTTGCCAAATTTCCGAAGATTTTGTCGCAATGTGGACATTTGTATTTTTTTCTTTGCGTGGAGTCGCCATGTTGGCTTTCAACGTGCTGTTTTAAATTATGTCTTGCCGTGTACGCTTTTAGGCAATGCGGACAACGGTGTTTGAAGTCGTCGCGTTTTAATGGTTCCCTAAAACAAAACGCGACCTCAAAAATCACAGAAACCCATTTATTATTTGTGTACTTACTAAAGAAAGGTCAGACCATAAAATAAGGGCAAATGATTACAGGGATATTAATAGTATATTAATACTATACTTTATCTACTCCAATAAGTAGATGATTACCTGATTTTCAAAAATCTGACATCTGTCAAATGGTTAACCTTACTTTTTACCAATTTTAAATGTTACTATAGTCGCCTTCTCCCAATTTAAAACCCGATTGGTTCAAATCGCAGTGTTTATTGAAATGGGCCAATCACTGATGTCTAACAACGTGAATAATGAGTTTATTATTCCCGTTTTTGCAGGGAATTTGTGTTTATTATTATTCACAAAAAAAATATGCAATGAGTAGATAAAATATAATTTTTAATTTGATACCCTATGTCCTTCTAAAAATAAACAATATATTTTATATAAAAAAATTACAAAATAAAAACTTTGAAAGTTGAGTCACGGCTCTTTTGATTATCTGTAGAAACTTGTCTAATAACAAAAGAGGCGCTAGAAGTTTGGTTTTAAAGATATATTACCTTGGGTGCAAAGTTTAGCTGGAAAATACAAAAAAACTCGTTTTGTCCCTATTGAAGCGTTTATAACTTTTTATTAGTTAATAATACTAAAAAAAAATTCAAACAAAAGTTGTTGGTAATACGTTCCTTAACAATTTCGTTAATGGGTATTTTCAACGCGGCGTGCATATTTACGCAGTTAATCATACACTACTATTTATTCTTAAAGTATAAAAACATTTGCTGACTGGACTACTCCGACTTTTTGTTAAAATTGTGAATTGTTTATTTTGAAGGCGACTGTATCCCCAAATTGGAGGAAAAAATATTTTTTAATCCCTATCTAATCGAAAAAACGTAGCATACTATTCCCTATAAAAAATTTAAAATGCGCGATATTTAATCAACTTTTTGTTAGGGACTGTGGAAAAGTTTAAATTAATAAAAACGCTTACCTTTTGCTGTTTTTTTCGCATGTGTCTTCTTTAAAGTCAGTCCTACAAAAACATTCGATTTTACATTACCACACAATGACAAATTTTTCATAAACTTCTAAAAAAGTTTATTGTGCTTTTATTTCAGGGGCCTGAAGAACGCCCTGTCTGAAAAATAACTCACCCTGATTCATCTTCATCGTCATATTGAACCCCATGATATTTTACTTCAATTTTCGTCTCAAACATGGCTTCATCCTCATATTTTTCTTCATCTTCACTATTTATATCATCTTCTTCAGAATTTTTATCATCTTCTTGCTTTATATTGCATGAGGTTTTTCTATTTTTAACTCCAGGATCAGAATCATCACTTTCTTCATCACTTTCGTTAATTTTAGATCTAAAATTGTGACAAAGTTAGGTTTCATCTGCTAAAAAATATACATATTAAATACCAGATTGTTTATAACTAATGGTGGGTTTATGCAGACTTAAGACTTAAAACTTAACATTTAAGACTTAAGAATTAAAAATTAAGCAAAAATTGTGGCGTTCATGCTGCATTTATCTTAAGACTTAAAACTTAAGGAGTAACCAATCAAAATCGATAAAAATATCACGTGGTATCAAGTTGGTACTACCAACATTAAAATGCCAATTAACATTGAAATTTTACCGTTGTGTTTTGCGAATGCGTATATTTTTGTTTATCAACGTTTTTTATAATCTGTGTTTACTAGTTTAATCTAAAATGGATCCAAACTATCTATCATTTTAGCACAGTAATTTCAAGAAAAACATGAAACACGAATTTTTAAATTTTCAGTTACAACAACCATAGAAAAAGAAACAGTTTAATTTAAAATTCCCTAGTTAACGCTTGCGCAAATGCGATTTCATGTAAGAATTAAAAATTAAGACTTAAGAAAGATAAAAGTTTATTATCTTTCAAGGTCATTTTTCTTAGTTCTTAAATGTTAAGTCTTAAGTCTTAAGTCTTAAATGGTGCATAAACGACCTCAAAGGAAATCAATGAAATAACCTAACTTTTAACTTCTTAATTGTTAAATGTTAAGTCTTAAGTCTTAAGTTTTAAGTCTGCATAAACCAGGCATAACCCTGATTTAAATCGTCGATTATTTTTGTTCCCTTTAACTTTTTCATCTTCAGGAGTGTATGATGAATCTTCATCGGCAGAGAAGTCCCGTTCTTCATCGCTACTATCGTCAACTCTAAATTATAAATATCTATGTAATATCTCTGCTATGTAGGTTATGTAACAAAAAAGTGATATAAGTTGTTTGAAATATATTGTTTTTTATTTTATGAAGTTGTTAATATATTGTGAAAAACTTCAATTACAAATTCAAGTTACATTATTTTTAAATCTACCTACCTATACAGTTTGTAGAAAATAATATGGCAGATAAAAATGACTTACATTGGGACAACTTTTTTTCCACTCCTTGTGGATCTCCTAACTTCATTATTATTTATTTTACTTTTTGAATTCTCTTTGGTTTTTTCATCACTTTCAGATGTGGATGAATCCTCATTGTTGTCATCATCATCAACATCTGTATCACTTGCTTCATTTTCTTTATAAATTTCTTCAACTGCAGTCCTAAAATTGAATTTATACAGAAAGTTTAATTTAGTTTTAATGTTTTAAGATAATATACAGTGTTTATAAATATTTTGTACTAATAACAAAGTTAAGCATTTTTAAATTTAAAATACTTACTCAACCTGACAGTCTTTTCTACATTCTTCATTATTATTTCCTTCAATATTTCTTGGTTCAATACAACTTTGTCCTTTTTTAAAGGTAATTTGAGTGTCTAAAAGTGATTGGTTTTCCTTTTCTTCATCATCAGAGTCCATGAGGTAAATACTGTCCTCAGTGACAAAGTCATCAAATAAATGTACCTCGTCCTCTTCCATGGTAATATTTACTATAAAAAAAATTATTGCAGTTAACCTGCATCAAGTATGTGTATACTAGGAAATCTATTAAAACAACATAATTTGCTAACCTCAATCAATATTTCATAATATTAAAGTACAACTTACCATTTATATTTATTTTAGTATCCAAGATTAATATCCACTAAAACAATTTCACATCACAAACATCCAAAACAAAAAACAACAAACAATTTTGGCCATAGAATAGAATATTCTGGCCATAGATAACTTATCATTGTGGCCAAAACCGTGAGGTTATGTTCAGTGTTGCCAACAGTGTGTTGATATTTTCTCAGCATCCTTCAATCAAAATATATTTATTTATTTACATATTTTATTCTCGTCCTATTGGCAACACTAGTTCTAGAACAGCTGTTCTTTTAGTGTTCTTGGCCTAGGGATATCTTAAAAAGTTGGCAACGCTGGTATGTGGACAAAATACATAACATAACCTTAAAATCATAGTAAAATCTAAGGTGTCTACAAACATAATATACACAGATTATAAAGGTGAGGTCTTCAGCATAGTTTGTTTCTCTATGGTCCTTCGTACACTTACAAAACACACAACGGCAACAATGGCGGCGTAGCCCTATAATTTTGGCTTAATTGTGACAATAAGGACAAGATGTTCCCGGCGAACCACAAAACGATATTCGTGCTGGATCACACGCCGTATTTCGGCATATCCTGCGAAAATCCTATAGAATTCGAATTCCTAAAGAGTCGTACACCAGGTTATATCCCCATGAGTCCCATTACAAAGTCTTTATGGACTTCAAGCCTGGAATCTGCCATTGAATATTGCAGGATAGTTTGGGATTTGTTCCCCAGTGGAAAATTGGTGCGTTTTATAGCCAGCGACACAGCAGCTAATATTATTAATACATGGAGCTCTAGCCAGCAGAATTTAATGCATGTAAGTGATACCCATAGAAAATATCGGTCGCAAAGTTAAAATGACGACGCATTTGTAGATAATGAATGGTATGTCATTTATTGGCATCCCTCCTAGTGCTCCTCCTTCCTCTCGTTCTCCACCACTCGATTACACAATTTTGCATGGTTTGAGAACGGCTGTAGAAGCTGCCACTGAATACACAGATATGCAGCAAGAAAAGGCCCAACAAATGGACGGCCCAGTTTTGAATAGGTAAATAGTAATAATATGTATATTTTTTATGGAACTCTTTTAAAAAATACACAGAACCTAATATTTATACACAAACAATATTTTAGCTTTTTCAAATTGTCATTTCAAATTTCGTGCTGCCAACTTAAGAAACACAAAAATATGACAGTTTTAAACCTTAATTTTGCCATTATCACAACAAATTAACAATTTATATTGTTACCTTTTTACTTTTTATGTTGTTTTTAGTTTTTAATGATACTTTAATTTGTAATAAAGTGGTAATTTGTTAATTAAAATACAATGTTTTATTTTTACTAAATTGGCACCGCTAACTGTTGTCAGCCTACTGTTTTTATTTATGAAAATTTAATAGAGAAATTCAAACCAAGTTTTTTTAAATGGATATTTGTCTGACTTCCACAAAGAAAATTTGAGACCCTAAAATATACTAAAAATGTTTTTAGGTGTAGAGTAATTTGTATAACATCTGCAAGAGATAATGACAGCATGAAGAGACTGGAGGAAATTTTTTTGAGTGTTTTAATACAGCAAAATAAAATGGTGTCCAATATGGAGAGGAACTTGAAAATTGACCATTGTCATTTGGTGGTTATCAACACATTTCCGGTAAATATGGAATCCCAAGTGAACAATCATGGGCCTATTAATGTAAGTTTTATTTTATACAATTTAAAATGCTTATTATTAAAACTTAGTATTAATTATGGTAATTACAAGAAAACAGGTAGGTATGTTCTTCAGTAGGACGAATTTTGGTTCACTTTGTGTACCACCCAGTTACCGCCATCTTGGTTCATTCCCGCCTTTGATTTTGAATGATATTTTATTATTGTTGCAATAAGTATTTATACAATATCTGCAAGTCTCCAAAATTATTATTGACGTCTTTTAATGTAAATACAACTCTTTGGGTTTTTGCAACATACAATAATTGCCAAAACTCCTTGAGTTTTTGCAATATAAAGAAGTATCGCTAGTAGCGCCACCACTCGGCTGTTATCATCGTAACAAAAGTACCACTTTTAATAATCAGCTGTCAAACGCTTATGTTACAAACGAGTGTTTTTGAGAATAAAGCCGGAAAATGTTAAAAAATATCGAAAAAAAACCGTGGCTCTATTTGTTGTGTGGTTGGGTGTATTTCGAGAGGAAACCCTGGGTTGAGTTTTTACCGGTTTTCCAATAAACAATGTTAATCTGAATGAAGAAATAAATTGCATACAGCCTCTGTAAATATAAATTGTATCTATTAGATACAATAAATACACATTTTAGTAAACGCTGTGACTCCCGTCCCGAGGCGGGACTTAAGTTCAGTCCCGATTGACGTCATAATTTTAAGATTTGTTATGTTATAATAAAATAATAATAATAATAAATTGTACCTGTATACATGTTTAAGGGCACGTAAGTTACGTCATAAAACCAAACCAACCCAAACTCAACAACACAACCCAACCGACCTCGCCCCATTGGGCCCCCCCCCCGCCCCATTGAGCAAAAAACCCAACTAAAATGGGCAAATTTATGTTACGATAAAAATAAAACACTTTTTAACAAAGAAACAACAAATTTATAAAATAAAAAAAATAAAATAAGTTTGACAACTTCTAGTAGAATCGAACCCGGTACCTCTCGCATGCCAAGCGACCGCCCTACCATCTAAGCCATCCAGCTTGACACCAATTATTAAAGCTCGGGGAATAAAAACGGATTTACAGTGTGTGACGTCTGTCGGGATCGAAGTTAAGTCCCGCCTCGGGACGGGAGCCACATCGTTTAGTAAAAGTGTAAACATTTCAATTCAGTAACAATCGTCAAACAAATAAGTCGTCTAAATTTAAACAGCATTTAGCATTATTAAAAGCGTTGATTAAGAAAGTCTCCACTCAACGGTAAAATACCATTATATTATGTATTATATATAATATTATGTTGCCATGAATTCGTAGGTATATTTTGTTGTTTAAAATGCAGTTCTCGGCGTTTTTTAGAGAACTCAAACATAAAAATGGTTGATTTTAAGGTTATGTTTGTGCAAAAATTATTTTTTACTAATTTCTTAAAAATGTCCAAATTTAAATATAAATTATATTAGGTAAAGTTATCATTAGTTAATTCTGCACCAACAAATGTACTTACCGAATTGGATCCTTTGGCAAAACATGAAAATGCAACGATTTAGTTCTTGAATTTTATTTACAATTAAAAACACAATAATTCACCATGATCTCTTTGATAAAATACACACACTAACGTAACTATATAAGCATTTAAGCGTTGAGTTTCTTAATCAATGATTTAAAGAATAATCAATCGAAATCGAGTACTAAACCAGTTTTTTAGTTTTTTCCTTGTAACGTAAAACACAAATAACGTGCGCGATTTAGCTGTGCAATTGAACAAAATTTGACTTCTGCCTTCTTTTTTTTGTAAAAAACTACCTATTTATTTAAAAATGATGTATAATCTGTGCTTTAAATGTAATATTGACAATTTTTCAATTCACGCAATGCATTCGAAGTCCACCAGATGGCGCGCGCGTTGATAAAACCCGATACTTCTTTAGCGTATTGCAAAAGTTTTTTGACTTTTATATTCATTTAATTAATAGGATTTTTCAACACACGAGTGTTGCAATAACTATTTATACAATAACCTGCAAGTCTACAAAAGTATAAATACTAATACTAATTAGTGACACCTTTTAATGTGAATAGCTACATACAACTCTTGAGCCTGATTTATAGATTGCCTTCCTTCCTCCCGTAAAAGATGAACAATACGAAAATCGTAATGCCGTGTATAGATTTCCATACTGGAATCTATAAACAGCACAATGGTTTTTATATTGTTCATATTTTACAGGAGGAAGGAAGGTAATCTATAAAACGGGCTTTACTTTTTTCCATATAGCACAATTGCATGCTATTAAATAGTAAAACGGCGTTCAATAAACCCTGTCTGGATCGAAAATTTTCTAAATTTAAATCTACTTTTTTGACTATTTAATTCGGTAAAATTTGACTAATTAGTAAAATATGACTTATAATTGGTCATTTTTGACTAATTCATTTTAAGAGAGTAGTAGATATTAATGTAGGTATTTTAAATGGTATAAAAACAATAAATTTCAGCTGTCATCCATTTTGACAACCGAGGTGCATTCGATCAAGGCGCCCTTGATCCCTCACAAGCTCTCCTCTCTGATCCTCGAGCACTACTCGTTGGCCAGCACGACCGTCACGGGCATCCCGATGAAGGAGGAGCAGAACGCCTCCTCCTCGGCCAACTACGACGTCGAGATCTACCACGCGTTCGGCGCGCACACCGCGATCCTCAAGGGCGGCAGCGCGTCCGAGTGCCGCGCGATCCGCGAAGGCCACGACTACGAGACGGTGACGTTGAAGTGGTGCACGCCGCGCGGCTCGGCCGGCACCGAGCTGCAGAACTGCACCGCGATGCACCGCGTCACGCCGGTCGACGTCAACTCGCGCCCCTCGCTGTGCCTGATAAACTTCCTGCTGAACGGGCGCTCGGTGATGCTCGAGATGCCGAGGAAGGCGGGCGGCAAGATCACCAGCCACCTGTTGGCCTCGCACGGCGGCGAGATCTTCATACACACCCTGTGTACGGCCAGGTAAGTGGAATTTGCATTTAAGACATTTTGATAAATAAATAACAGTAGGCTGTGGCAGCAAATTCAGCGGTGCCAATGTAGTAAAAATAACAACACAAAAACAATGTTAATTGTATTTGCGTTGTTATAATGGCAAAACTGTCATATTTTATTGTGTTTCTTAAGTTGGCAGCACGAAATTTAAAGATTTTCATATGAAATATACTGCATTTATCAATTTTAAAGCCAGTCCATTTTCAAGGAAGAAATTTCGAATTTGACAGAAAAATTATGCATACAATAATTTTTCTAATACCATAATAATTTCATAAATAATTACTAAAAATGTTATTTTTTTGACATTTACAATTATTTTATTTTGACGTCTGTCATTTTTTTTTTAAATTTATTTACGTCAAGGAATACATTGAAATTTTAGTATTAACATAACAATGAAAATTAAATTGTTTTCTTGAATAAAAATTATCAGGTAGTACTATTAAATCAAATATAGGAGTGCGAAAAAATTTTGACAATTAAAAAAAATTAAATCAATTTGTTATAGATTATTTTTTATAATATTTGTCTATGATATTTTATAATATTTGTTCTGTGGTACATATTTTGACATTCTATAAAAAAAAATGTCCACTGTCAAAAATGACCTACTTTTGACACTTAAATGCCAACACAAAAGCCGACTTTTTTAAAGTTAAAAAAATATTTAGATTAATTTGCAATAGATTATTTTTTATAATATTTGTCTATGATATTTTATAATATTTGTTCTGACATACTTTTGACACTTAAATGTCAACACAAAAACCGACATTTTGACAATTAAAAAAATATATTTAAATTAATTTGTAATAGATTATTTTTTATATTTGTCTATGATTTTTTATAATATTTGTTCTGTGGTAATTATTTTGACATTCTAAAAAATACTTTTTTTTACTGTCAAAAATGACCTACTACATTTAAATGTCAACACAAAAACCGACATTTTGACAGTTAAAAAAACATATTTAAATTAATTTGTAATAGATTATTTTTTATAATATTTGTCTATGATATTTTATAATATTTGTTCTGTGGTACTTATTTTGACCTTCTATAAAAAATACTTTTTTCCACTATCAAAAATTACCCACTGGGCCATTCCACGCTTAACGGATAGGACAGTTGCCGTGTTTTTATTTACAAAATAATATTGTTCTATTGTATGACCAATGTCAAATTTTTATAAATAGTTCTAAACAAAAGCTGTTTAACATGGTTTTTATTTGACAAAATTAGGTATCGTGATTGACTGTTTAATTCCTTAAAAATTAATAATTTAGTCCCGTCCGTTACGCTTTAAATTATTAGTTTTTAAGGAATTAAACAGTCAACCACGATAACTAATTTTGCCAAATAAAAACCTTGTTAAACAGATTTAGTTTAAAACTATTTATAAAAATTTGACATTGGTAATATAATAGAACAATATTATTTTGTAAATAAAAACACGGCAACTGTCCTATCCGTTACGCGTGGAATGGCCCTACTTTTAACATTTAAATGTCAACACAAAAACCGACATTTTGACAACTAAAAAAAATATTTAAATTAATTTGGAATAGATTATTTTTTATAATATTTGTCCTGTGGTATTTATTTTAACATAATAAAAAAAAATCCACTGTCAAAAATGACCTACTTTTAACACTTAAATGTCAACACAAACACAAAAACCGACATGTTGACAATCAAACAAAAATATTTAAATTAATTTAATTAATTAATTTAATTTGTAATAGATTATTTTTTATAATATTTGTCTATGATACTTTATAATATTTGTTCTGTGGTACTTATTTTGACATTCTATAAAAAGTACTTTTTTGCACTGTCAAAAATGACCTACTTTTAACACTTACATGCCGACTTTTTGACAATTAAAAAAATATATTTAAATTTATTTGTAGTAGATTATTTTTTTTTAATATTTCTCTATAATATTTTATAATATTTGTCCTGTGGTACTTATTTTAAAAAAATATTTAAATTAGTTTATAAAAGAATATTTTTTTGTAATATTTGTCTATGATATTTTATAATATTTTGACATTCTAAAAAATATAATTTTTTGCACTGTCAAAACTGATCTACTTTTGACACTTAAATGTTAACACAAAAAAAATATTTAAATTAATTTAAAATAGATAATTTTTTATAATATTTGTTCTGTGGTACAGTTGTATTCAATAAAAAAGCGTACAAGAATTAGAATGAGAGAAAACTTTCAAAATAATATTATTGCTTAAAACCGGCTTATCACTGACATAAGTCATTAAAATAATTACTATAGGTTATAAACAGCATTGACGTCGTAGGTTAATTAAATAATATTACAAAAATTATTACCTTTTAGAAATGAAAAAAAACAAACATTAAAAAATATTTAATATTTAGTCATGCATCCCTGTTTTTCTATTACTTGAGCCAATCTATTTGGGATGAACTGAATTAAATTTAATACAATATTTGGATTAATATCTTCCAAGCAGTATAGTAGGTATAGTATAGTTGTATAGTTTCCCATAAATCCTCAGATATCCCAAAAAAGCAGCATCCTGTTCAGGGGTGGACATTTTGGAACGACCTGAACCAACTTTTTGGTTTAGTAAATCTTCCTGTTCCCAGCGTTGCTTAATTTTTAATATAGATTTTTTATTTCTATTATACCAGAGTACGAATTGATCATTCTTCTTCGATTCTTGATACTATTTGAGCCTTTTTAACTGACGAGGCATTTTTATTTTCTACTGTCAGTTATAGTGACTTAAGTCAGTGGAAAGCCGGTTTTACGCAATAATAATTTTTTTTTGCACTGTCAAAAATGACCTACGTTTGATTTTGAAGGTCGGTCCTTGAGGACCCCCCGTCAATTTCAGAGGGCGCCGGCGGCAGAGTGACCGACTACCGAATCACGGACTTCGGCCATTTAATAAAACAAAACACTCTGCTGCCGATGAAAGCGGCGCACATCGAAGCAGGCGCGCCCTCCATCGCCAAAATGAAGACCAGACTGAACAGGCACACCAGATACTGGCCGTTGACCATCAGTTCCACCGTGATATTCAACTTGAAGAACGTAAGAAACCGTCGCACAGTGTTTCAATTCCCGAAATTTTCGGCAAAATATCAAGGAGTAGTCGGATTCTCCTTAAAATCCGTATATAGACGTTTTTGGGGTCGCTGATAACGAATCTGGAATCAGAATTCAAAAATTCAAAATGGTAGATACAAAATGGCGGACATATTTGTCAAAAATTGACGGAATAAATTGAAAATCACCATACAGGGTTTTTGGGGTCGCTGATAACGAATCTGAAATCAGAATTCCAAAATTCTAAATGGTAGATCCAAAATGGCGGACATATTTGTAAAAAAATAGACGGAATTAATTGAAAATTACCATACAGGGGTTTTTGTGGTCGCTGATAATGAATCTGGAATCAGAATTCCAAAATTCAAAATGTTAGAACTCAAATGGCGGACATTTTTATCAAATATTGTCTAAATTAATTAAAAATCCGTAAGAGGTTCTTTTTAAAATGTAATAAAACATCTTTTTATAAAATAGCTTAATTTAGTTTATTAAAATTACATTTATATGATATTATTTAATACCTACATATATATTAAACAATCTCCGTCACTGGATTCGCTCGTTGTATCATTAGCAGAGCATGGGAAACCATCAGAATATAGCAACAGTTTTATTGCTTCGCGGGACAAAGATTTGCTCTTTTTGGGAGCATTTTTTCTGAAGCTAGAAATATACGGATCGGAAGATGCCATAAGCCAATGGAAAACATCTTCCATTGTTTTCTCCCGAGAAACTTTCAAAATTTATTTATAAAATTTAAATATAACAGATTTTATACCAAGTATTTTAAATTTGTATTATTTCTCTTACTTAATATTTTAGCAACGATTTCTTAATTCGCTAAAAAAATTGTCAACACAAATAACCAAAATTCAAATTTAACTTTAACACACTACAATGCGCATGCGGAGTTGTTTTAACGCACCTACAAGAGGTGGGTTAAATATGTAAAATCGGTGTTAAATATCTTAGTAGTCACTAACGATTTACGCAAGTGAAAGTCTAGACACCGCTGTTGTAATAAACGTTTTGAGTTAAATCCGAGTGAATCGAGTAAACGTCATGAACGCAACCCAGAAATAAAAAAAAATCTTATATTTTGTAAAGCAAAAACACAGATACGCGCTCGACATAGGCTTAAAATCGCGAGGTTTTTTACCACAACCGTGCCTGAGCGCCCAAGAACATGTAGTTTTAATGAGCCGGGGGCAAGTTGGGGCAGCTAATTTATTGATGACTTGATAGACAAAACTCTAAGCTATTTAACGGATCTTGAACTGATGCCTTACAATTCATTACAATTTTTGTAGCCTTATTGTTCTAAAAGCTCGATTCAAAGTTTGCGATTTTAATAGACCGATCTTGTCGGTTACAATAACCCGTTGTACAAGCAAAATCTACGAAAAACAAATACATATCTGAATTTTAGATACCTTGAAGATCACCCTTCATCAAACCGCATAACAATCAGACACACCAAACACAAGTTATTCACTTTTAAACAATAAACAATTTTCCGCAGCGATCGCGTGTAAAGTACCTTCAACTGAGAGCGTCAAGTTTAAACTGATTTACAAGAGAAAATATAAGTATTTTATATATATTTTTTTTCAATACAGGATGGAGATAGGTATTAACTACCCATCTAACTCAAAATTTACCTGAAAAAAAATGTAAATTTTTGAGGTTTTGCCGATATTTTCCAGAATTGAAACACTGTGCGTCGCACCGCTTGGCGCATTTTTTGACGCTGTCTTTGCAGTTCATCGACCCGATGCCGGCGCTCATAACCAAGGAGAAGATCTCGGACGAGGAGGTGTTCGCGTGCAAGAAAGTGATCTACAACTTGATCTCGTTGGAGTCGAAGATGGAGCCGCTGCATCAGGTCAGCTCCGGGCAGCGCGTCAAGCCGGCCAAGAGGGAGGAGCAGTACAAGGCGATGTGGAACGAGCTGGAGACGCTTCTGAAAAACAACCTGCACACCGAAAACCACAGGAACGTGTATGGTTGCTTGCTGGAGTGCCACAAGTTCAATTTCAACGAGGAGGACAAGAGCGAGAAGGTCGAGCTAGATGACGCTCTCAGGGAGTTGGACCAAATGAGTGAGTTTTACTTTTTTTTACTTGGTTTTATTTTTTAAAGTAACAATATTAAATATTTGCTCGACGAACTCTTTTTTTCGGTTGAACACTCCCGTTTGTAGTAAACTGCTTGATTGTACGGTGAAATGAAGTACGTGATCGAATTTTATGCGGAAAACGCTGAGCGTAGATATTAACAGCATCATCAAGATTCCTGCCTGCTTCTCCATAAATTAAAATCATTTCTATTTTTTCTTTCACTGTTAAAAAATCCATTATGAATAACTGCTTAACGAAAGGAGGTCTTTTTGTTTGCAAATTAATCTTCGAACTAAATTGATTAAATAATACTAAACTATGTAATAATTGTTTCTTTATACCTCAATAATAATTAGTATTTATAACTAAATACCATTTTTTATACCTCGATTAGGATTAAATTAATTAATTGACAAAATAATTTTTACCTTAAATGAGGTATTTTTATTAAAAATATTGCAATAATCCTTTAAATTAAAGAATTTAATGCTGGAAGGTAAAAAGTGAACATGTTGAGCAATTGATAATTATCACCGAATGAAATAATGTATAAAACTTAAACCAAAGGAAACTTAAATATTGGTTAAAAAATCGTGGGTACTTAAAAAAATCAGCTTTAATTTAATAAGATAATTATTACAAAAAAAGTAATATTTTTATAGAAAAATAATTGTAGAATCGTATAAGAAGAAAAATCGAACAAAATTGATTTTTTTTTATTACAGTGTCATCTATTAAAAATATGAATTTTTTTCTAAAAGACGTGCTAAAATTACAGCTGTCAAAATTACACGAAAAAAATTATACAAAAAATAGCAAAAAACAATTTTTCTGAAAATTTACAAATTTTTACGGATAGTATCCGTACACTGATATAGAGAAAAAATTAAATTTCCAACGCTGATTATAATTATATAATATTATGATTATTATAATTATTTCTTTTATTTTAATTCAGTAAGAATATTCTACCGGGCCGCAAAAAAACACTTCAGTTTATACAATTAAAAGTTTGTAATTTAACTTTATACATCATTCATTATTTTGTAGTTATATATTTTTAATGGACTCCTTTTTGCAACAAAAATACCCAACAGTAAATTGCACGTTTCCGTTTATTTTTTTAAATTTAATTTAATGTTTTGTTTTATTTTTTTGTAATAAAGGATTTTTTTTATTTAAAATAATGTTAAGTTGTTGATTGCTACTTTTTATATTTTACAAAAAAAATCCAATTTTTCCCAAAAAAGGGAAAAAAACCTGTTTTTACAAAAAAAAATCCAATTTTTCCTAAAAAAGGGAAAAAAACCTGTTTAACACTTTAAAACCCTAGTCAAAATGGCAGGTGCAAAAATGACAGCTGTTGTTTTTTTACTACATTATAAATGGTTTTTTTTGTTGAATAAGAATCTTTTTTAGAAACTTAATTTTGAATATAATAAATTATTAATAATGACAAGCTTAAAATACTTTGGCATGGTTCCTTAATTAATTGTTGTTGCTACAATTAACAATTAATTGACAGAAGTAGTCACATTTAACAATGAAATAGTTTTTGTCTAAATGACAGGTGCAAAAATTACAGCAAAATGTCAAAATGTCAGGTGTAAAACCGACAACAGTCAAATGGCAGGTGCCAAAATGCAGGTGCAAAAATTACAGATTCCAAAATGACAGCCGTCAAAATGACAGGTGCAAAAACGACAACTGTAAAATGACCGCTGTTAAAACGACAGGTGCCAAAATGACAGCTGTCAAAAGACAGTTGCAAAAATGGCAGGTGCCGAAAAACATTCCATGTACTTTATTTTTCCTTAGAAACACGCGAACGAAAATGAAAAAAAACTAAAAGTTTAAACCAATTGACCAAAAACGACAATGTTTAAAATAACCGATGCCAAAATGACAGGTGCAAAACGACAACTGTCAAAACGACAGGTGTCAAAATGACAGCTGTTAAACGACAGGTGCCGAAAAACATTCCATGTGCGATATTTTTCCTTAAAATCACGCGAGCGAAAATAGGTGAAAAGAAATTAAAAAAGTTTAAACCAAAATGACAGCTGTCAAAAGGCAGGTGCAAAAACCACATATTCAAAAATGACAGGTGCAAAAACGACAAATCTCAAAATGACAACTGTTAAAATGAAATCTGTCAAAAGACAGGTTCAAAAATGACAGCTGTCAAAATAACAGATGCCGAAAAATATTGTATGTACGTTATTTTTTCTTAGAATCCCGCGAGCGTAAATAGGTGTAAACAAATTTTAAAAAAATTAAACCAAAATGCTTTGACATTCATAAGAATGTCATGTAAATACGTAATTATTATTATTGTAGCAGCCAACACGGCGAAATCGACGGATAGCGAGCAACAGCGCGCCTCCGTAATACGCGCCACCACCGATTCCCCCATGTCGCCGCCGCCACTGGCCAGCATAGCCGCCCCCGCGTTTTCCAGGTCGACGTCGTCCAATCAAAACTCGCGTCAGTCGGGCAGCGCCCTCTACTCGGCGCAACCCAAAACCCTCCTCGACATTTTCGCCGCCCAGGACAAAAGTAAATCGCGCCCGGATTTCGTCGGCAGGCTCAATTCTTCCGGTGACGGCCAGGTTGCCAAATTGTACCCCAATTTCACCGGAGACGATCGGGGCCCGCGAGCAGATGCCTCCATAGAAGCTTAGTATATTATTTTTATTACTTGTAAATACTTTCCTTTATAATAAAACGCAATTTTACTAAAACCGTTTTATTTAAAAACAAAAAAAACTGAAATATACTGGGTTAGTAAGTATGGCAAAAAAATATAATATTTATTAAAATTTGAATATGTCAGTGAGTTTTTTAAGAATACCGCCTTTCTTCTCCCCTTTCAAACCCTCATCTTTAACATTCAAATTTTCCACCTCACTTATCCGATCCTTTGAAACAAAAGAACTATCCTGCAGATGAGATTCTCGATCCGACTTTTTTAATGTTTCAATGTTATTTACATTAGTGCCTTCATCCACGGAGGTGGTTATTTTGGACTGAAAGCACTCGTCCCCCTATTTTTTGGAAGACTTTATCGGCTTCTCCTTCTTCATTTTCATCAAGCTTGCAGGAATTACTTCCTCCTTTTTACCAACCAAATCCTCATGACCGTCTTCTCTCATCTTTTTTTCCCAAGCTGCCAACTCCTTTTCAAACCTAACCTTTTCTTTTATGTACATATCCTGATATTTGTCTTTCTCTTGTTGCGGTAATGTCGACCACGCTTGTTTTTTTTCTGCAAAAATATCTCTCAGATGCTTTCCCTCTTGTTTGCATAAATCAGTCAGGTACAAGGCATAGGCTGTTAAGGGTCTTTTTGGCTTGTTATGTTCTCTATAAAGCTAAAAAAATGTATTGTGTTTATGACATTTGTAACCTTTTTTGACATTTCTGAAATACATTTGACATTTTATATGTTTTTTGACATTTTTGAAATTTTTTTGACATTTCTGACATAAATTTGACATTTCACGTGTTTTTTACATTTTTGAAATGTTTGCAACATCAATATACATACCTTTTTTAATTTCCTCCTCTCCTTCTTGGACTTCTGTTCTTTGGTGGCCTTTTTTAAGGCATCTCTCATATCCGGCGTCAGAGACTCGTTATACTTCAACAACTTGGTGTCATACGACTCAGATTCCACCTTCCACTCAGCGGCGAACTTTTCCTTAATCGAGTCGTGCAGTTTGTTCCAGTCCTCCGCGCATTTTCTCACGATATCTTTGGCTTTCAAATCTGGATTCTCCCTCGTTACAACTGGCCTATGCTCAGCTAAATACCTCAAATACGCCGTCAAGGGCCTCTTTGGTTTTTCGGGGATGTTTAGTTTATCCAGCAGGTCTTTGGTGTTTTGTTTTAAACCGGCCACGGCCACCTGGTTTACGTTAATAACCCTAGAAACGATAAGTAAACAACAAAAGTTTTTATTAATTTATGTATTCACAAACCTGTTGATAAATAGAGGGTTGTTGAGCGTGTTGAACGCCTTAAAAAATAATCCTGGGCAAGACATGATTTCGAGTAAACCATGCGTTCTTTTTTATTCAAAAATATATTTGGCTTCGTAAACTGTCATTAAAGTGTTACCAACTGAAACACACAACGTAAACATAACCTATCAGTCATGCGAACATAACCTAGTTGTTTCAGATGGAGACCCCTATTTTAAGCAAAAATCAACAGAAAAACGCGCTCTCTTCGAAAAAAAAGTCGAGGGTGACCATAAAGAATGTGGTGGCTTCGCCGTACAACTGTTTCTGGTAAATATTGTGAATAAAAACATAAATTTACTAAAATAAATGAAATGTAGGCCTCAAATTTCGCACGAAGATAATACAAAGTTAACGGGGGCGTTGGAAAAATATTTGCCACGCATTAAAACACCAAGAACTAGCGTGCCATGGGATATTCTAAAATCTGTTCCAAGGGGCGAAAGAAAACAGTTTCGTGAAGATTACAGTGATGTAAAAGTTGAAAATAAAAAACCTGAGAGGTAATTAGCAATATTTATTACTATTACATGATATTTCTTTATAAATTGTGTTTTGGACATTTGTAGTTTTGGAATTGTTTTTGGGGTAAATGACGTCACAAAATGCTTGGAAAAAAATGAATTGGATTCAGTTTTAATATCCAGTGACGTCCAACCAAGATTGATGGTGGGGCATGTGATAGATATGTGTGTATTAAATAATTGTAATGTTTTGATTGTGGAAGAGTTAAGAAATAAATTAAAGGCAACATGTGGTTTTAACAGTGTTGTTGTAGGGTTTAAACGCAGCATTCACATAAATAGTGATTTAAATTTTGTTCTTGTTGAGGTGAAACATATTTCTCAGCATCACCCTGTACCTACTGATCATATAAATTATTATAAGAGAAATAATGCAGATGTTCAAAAAGATGTTGTTAGTGGTAGTAGTGGTGAAAGTAAAATTAAAAAACGTGTGATATCTGTAATAGATGTGGAAGCAATTCAAAAAAGTGTATATTTGCTTAGAAATTCCAATGAAAAGAGAACTTTTGTACCTACTGAGTCATCATCATCAAAAGATAACCCTAAAGTGAATGATAACTTTTTGTCATTTGGGGAAAATATGGACACAAGCAAATCTTTAAAAATAGTTAAAAATTATAAACCTTTGGTTGTGAAAAGGTTAAAGGGGAATCCCAAAAGAAGCAAGAAAAATAAATAGGTATGTTTAATAATAGTCATTTTTTTTATTAAAATATCTGCTGGAGCTATAAAATAAAACCACCTGTTGTCTTTTATGTATATTTATATATTTTATTTTTACACCAAATGCCTTCAAAAATATATGCAAAAATGTAAATAATTATTATATAATAATTTGTATTGAGTTAAATTAGTTTGTCTTAATGACAGCCGTCAAAATTCAGGTGCAAAAATGACAGCTTTTGAAATGACAGGCGTCAAAATGACAGCTGTCAAAATGACAGGTGCTAAAAAACATTTTATGTACATTATTTTTCTTTAAAACATATGCTAGAGCTATGAAATTAAATCACCTGTTATATATTATGTATGTATATCTATAAATATTTTATTTTTATATCAAATGCCTCTAAAAATATAAGCAAAAAATGTAAATAATTATTTAATTCAAAATTTGTTATCGAATTAAATTTATTTTTGTCCAAATGACTGGTGCCAAAGTTACAGCTGTCAAAATGACATGTGCTAAAATAACAGCTGCCAAAAGACAGGTGTCAAAACGACAAAAGTCAAAATGACTGCTGTCAAAACGACAGATTTCAAAATGACAGCTGTCAAAACGACAAAAGTCAAAATGACAGCTGTCAAAACGACAAATTTCAAAATGACAGCTGTCAAAACGACAAATTTCAAAATGACAGCTGTCAAAACGACAAATTTCAAAATGACAGCTGTCAAAACGACAAATTTCAAAATGACAGCTGTCAAAACGACAAATTTCAAAATGACAGCTGTTAAAACGACAAATTTCAAAATGACAGCTGTCTAAACGACAAATTTCAAAGTGTCAGCTGTCAAAATGCAGGTGCAAAATGACAGGTGATAAACGACAACTGTCAAAATGATCAAACCCAAAATGACAGCTGTCAAAATGACAGGTGTCGAAAAACATTTAATGTACGTTATCTTTCCTTGGAATATAGAAAAATCTGCTAGAGATATGAAATTAAATCATCTGTTCTCTATTATGTATATTTATATATATTTTATTTTTACACTAAATGCCTCCAAAAATATAAGCAAAAAATGTAAATTATCAATATATAATAATTTGAATTAAGAAATTAATTTTTGTCTAAATGACAAGTGCTAAAATTACAGCTGTCAAGACATCTACAAAATTCACAGCTGTCAAAATGACAACTGTCAAAATGACAAGTTCAAAAACGAGTTGGCAAAATGACAGTTGCCGAAAAAAATTCTATGGATTGTGATTCTATGTACGTTTTTTCTTTAGAATATAGAAGAAATCTGCTGGAGTTGCTGCTGACAAATTTCAAAGTGTCAGCTGTCAAAATGCAGGTGCAAAATGACAGGTGATAAACGACAACTGTCAAAATGATCAAACCCAAAATGACAGCTGTCAAAATGACAGGTGTCGAAAAACATTTAATGTACGTTATCTTTCCTTGGAATATAGAAAAATCTGCTAGAGATATGAAATTAAACCACATGTTGTCTATTACGTATATCTATATATATTTTATTTTTACACCAAATGCATTAAAAATATAAGCAAAAAATGTAAATAATTATATAATATTTGTATTGAGTTTGTACAATATGTACAGTAAGGTCTGGTCAAAATGGCAGAGAATAGTTTTTTTCAGTCATTCTTGAAATATACTAAAAATACTATTTGTTACTAAAACATAATCAAAATCTAATGGTACTACTTATATTTAAAGCATTCCACACAAACATTAATATTATTTTGTCGGCCTGTGTAATTTATTTACTTATTGGCGATGAGAGGAAGATTTTCCCCGAACTCCTGCTATTTATTCCAGGATTGTTCCACCCCAGAGCCCATGGTGGTGTAAACCAAAATTTCGATCACATACAGAACCATCGTCACGCCGAAAATGATTTGCCACGAGTTGATGCCGGGCTAAAAAACGAATTTCACATCGAATCAACGCAACGTTTCACACAGCAAACGGAAAATTATAGAAGTGTATAGGATGACGCCACGTTTGAATATAGTTTTCTAAATCTCCCCACGGTATAGATTTGTATTCGTCAGTCGAGCGTTTCAATACTCTCCACAGTATAGAGGTCGTAATTTCACTTTTGAACTAGTATTAATATAAAAATTATTTTATGCTTAAAAAAACTATATAGGTACGACATGATTGTGATTTTTTTCATTTTATTAATTAATTAAGCTGTGTTGAATATTTTTCCTAAAGGAATAATTGCCAATGGGCCATTAATTCTTTTGTTCGTAGATGCTACAATAACCTGCACTGGTGTGTACTTTTTCATCAACCAGATTTAAATATTACAAAACTAACATATACCAGTGGAGATAGTGCAGGGTCTACCAACAGTCCTCATTGCTAAATTATTAAAGTTAAATACTTAGCATATCGATCATTTTTTCAACATAACCTCTGAAATTTTTAATACAAATATAGGTACTTTATATAATACATAAATATACTTAACATCATATCCTCTGTGCTTTACATACCTGAGTTGTTACGGTAAATAAAAATCAGACAAAGGAACCAAAGAAAGGAACTATTTTCAACAAAATCATATGCAGAAATGAGAAAATTCAAACTACTTGCATCCATCAAAAGATCAAAACTTCTTGCAATATTACACCCTCTTTTTATACTCTCAGAAATATTGATTAGAACAGTATTAGAAAGACTCCAGTTTCTATAACTTGGTAGAGTAAAGAGAAGTCGAAACCATTGCGATATTGCATTGCGCTGTTTTTGTATAATTCTCTGGGACATTAACGAAAATCATTGCCAGTAAAATTCGAAAAGCTTAAGTTTCTATGTCTCTGAAGAGAATAGGAATCAGAAGTTGCTGCACCATTGGACTGAACCCTTTTTCAATAATTTCTAGAGACATAAATGACTGCACCATTCGACAGGGTCGAGTTTCTACCTCTCTGTTGAATATAGAAAATCAAAACAATGTATCTTGTAAGACACCATTGAGTTTGACTTTAAATATAGTCGGGCATAGGTATAGAGCCGAAAAATATAAAAACAAAGCACGATTCAATACAGTTCTGATAAAACTTTAAGATTTAGTATTCAAACGCGGAGTCATCCTATACAGTTCTATAATTTTCCGTTTGCTGTGAACGTTTCAATACTTACATCGTCGTGGGTGAGCCAGCCGACGAACAGCGGCACCAGAATCCCCGGGATCGTGGCAACGGTGTTCGTGAGCGCCATCAAGGTGCCCGCGTAATTCGGCGCGATGTCGATGTGGTTGGACAGGAAGCCGCAGAACATGCCGCCGATGCACGTGACCGCCACGCACATCAGCGCCACCGCCCACTCGCGCCTGCAGCCGATAAAGCAGAGCGCGACAAAGCACAGCAACGGACCGAGGCTCGCGATGAGGGTTGCCGTCTTGCGCGCCCAGGTCGTGGTGATCTTTTCCTTGATGAGCAGGGTGTCCAAAACTTTGCTCAAGATCATGGAGAAAATCCACATGCACAGGAACGGTATAGTAGTTAAAACAGCGTTGTCAGAGAGCTTGAAATTGAAAACCATCTTCATGTACGACGGTAGTTCTATTAGCACCATGTACCACCCCCAGTTGGAGCAAGTGTGAGCTATAAGAATCGCCCAGAAGGCTTTGGAAGTCCAAACGGCTTTCCAAGGTACCGATTTCGTCTATAAAAAAATGTATATACATTCACTACAGAAATACTACCAGTACTAATAAGAACCTCGTGTTTTTCATCACCAAGTGACGCGGCAATCATGCTTCTCTCATCCTGACTAATAAACGAAGTTTCATTGGGCGAATCAGCGGCAAAAATAATCCAAAATATCATCCATATACATGAACATGCACCTTCAATATAAAACACATATTGCCAACCCAAACTACTGCCTATTATTCCAGAAACCAACATAAATATCTGCAAAAAATAATACTGATGAATAAATCTTCTATACCCAGACCGCAAAATCACATTCCCTGCACATGTCAGGAATATTCCCAGGAATATTCCAATCGTCCCAGAATATTCCCAGGAATATTCCTGGCATAATCAAATGTCCGCTTTTTGATTAACCCAGGCATCATAAAAAGAATATTCCATATATCTGCCTGCAGAAGACTCAAGGATTGTTAGGGGAATATTCCTTGATATAATTTGGGGATTATTCCCAGCCCTTATTGCCTCTTATACCCAGGAACTTAACTTAAGTATAGCCATTATTAAATTACTGAGTAGATCAGTCCCACTCTAATCATTGTTTGGCTGTGCCATCACAGACGCACATCTCCAACTAATATATATCAAGCGTGCGTAAGCAACGGTGGGAGGTATTGCAACTAAACTAATGAATATTCACTGGGAATATTCTTAGATGATGCTTGGAAGTTTTAGAGGATCATTCTAGGAATATTCCCAATGAATATTCCTAGAATAAAGCGGATTATTCCTAGGCGATAGGGAATATTCCTGGAATATTTTCGAACCTTCATTGCAGTCTGGGTACGCTTTCACAAAAAAAGGGAAGGCAGAAGTCTTACTCGACAAATTTTGTTCAATTGCACGTTATTTGTGTTTTACGTTGCAAGGAAAAAATTAAAAAACTTTTAGTACGTGATTTCGATTGATTAAATGCTTATATAGTTACGTTAGTGTGTGCATTTTATCTAAGGGATCATGGTGAATTATTGGGTTTTTAATTGTAAATAAAATTCAAGAACTTAATCGTTGCATTTTCATGTTTTGCCAAAGGATCCAATTCGGTAAGTACATTTGTTGGTGCAGAATTAACTAATGATAACTTTACCTAATATAATTTAAGTTTGGACATTTTTAGGAAATTAGTAAAAAATAATTTTTGCACAAACATAACATTAAAATCAACCATTTTTATGTTTGAGTTCTCTAAAAAACGCCGAGAACTGCATTTTAAACAACAAAATATACCTACGAATTCATGGCAACATAATATTATATATAATACATAATATAATGGTATTTTACCGTTGAGTGGAGACTTTCTTAATCAACGCTTTTAATAATGCTAAATGCTGTTTAAATTTAGACGACTTATTTGTTTGACGATTTTTACTGAATTGAAATGTTTACCCTTTTCACGTTAATCACTACTAAAATGTGTATTTATTGTATTTAATAGGTACAATTTATATTTACAGAGACTGTATGCAATTTATTTCTTTATTTAGATTAACACTGTTTATTGGAAAACCTGTAAAAACTCAACCCAGGCTTCTAGACCCCTCTTAATTTTAACTGGTACTAAAATCGACACGACTTTATATTTTGTGGATAATCTCGAAAAATGTGCACTGGGCATATTAAAATATTAACATTTTCTTAAAGTGGATGAAATTGTTTAACATTTGATGTAATTATTTTTAAATTTGGGTAAAAAATAACACAATTACAGACTTCCAAAGTTGCTAAGAAACGATAAAACTACACAGAAAAAAATCTAACATAGTACCAAAAACATCGCTGTCATTGAATGCATTAAAATTGAAGCAATCTAAATTGTTATTTGCTCAATTAATTACTATTAAACCAAAATAGGGAAATATTTTGCCTAAATGTCAAGGATTTTATTAAGTTAAATGTATACATAGTATACATACAATAGTAACGTAATTAAATAAATCAAATTAGTATTTAATGCAATAACATTCTACCATTCCAACAAATAAATATCAATAGATTTAGGAGCGATAACTTTTGTTGTTAATTTAAAAACAGTAAACGATTATAAACCAAGTGCTAACTACCTATTGGTATTATAGGAACTGTTATTCAGGAATACGGATTACAAGATCCCATTGGTTTAATGGCTCTCCCATTCATGCTATGCTAGCGTTTTTTCTGTGTACCAAGTATACTTACCACTGTCCCCAAAGCAGTCCCAGAGTAAACAATACTGCTCATTACGGACCTCTCGGTGGGCGGCGCCCAGTGCGCCAATATGACGTGCATGGCGGGAAACGTCATCCCGCCTCCGAAGCCCTGCAACACGCGTATCAGGATGAGGGCTCCGTAATGCCAAAGCGCCGCCGCCGGCGTCAGCAGCGCCCCCACTATGTTGACGACCACGGCGCCCAACATCACCCACTTGGCGCTGAACACCTCGGCTATGCGCCCGCCCGGCAGCTCGGCCACCATGTAGCCCAGAAAGTAGGCGCTCAACAGAACGCCCTGGACCACAGTGGACCAAACGAATGGGCCGTCCTGAAAGAACATACGGCCTTTTTTAAAACAGTTGCGTTATAGCTTGAGTCGATTCCGAAAAAAATTGGTCGGTTAACAGATATGAGTGAGGCAGTCGCGAAATAAGTATTAAGTCTAAGAGGTCCCGAAACCAATGCGCTTGTTAATTATGTTTAGAAATAAAAAAAATTCATTTGATTTCATATTTCGTTTTTCTATTTATTGCTTTTTTTTTGTATAAATAATAGTATATTAAAAAACCAATGCCATAAGACGTCATTTTGTCGCACGCTGACGAGTGCAACAAAAGGTCTTATGACATGAGTTCTTTATGCTATTTTATCTATTTTGCAAAAATTCTATAAAAAATTAATTTTATACCTTAAATTTAATTTGGTCGAATTTTACTTTACATAGTTGGTACCAGTCATTGGTTTGACAGTTAATGTCAAAATCGATTCGCCATGCCGTCCTTAATTTACTTATTTACAATAAGCAACTGTTAATGTTAAAGAAGAAAAAAAGGATTTTCTTTGGTGTTAAACAACATTTATTGCCAGAAAAATCTCGTTAGTACTAGAAAAATAATAAAAATATTATAACCAAAATGCAAAATATTATGCTGTTTAAAGTATAGCCAACCTATGAAATCAAAATTTTGGGTGGGATAAAGTATCTCATTACAGCACCGAAAGCGGTGTTATAATTTTAATTAAGAGTTTTAAAGCGATATTATTAAAAAATGCATTAATATTTGGTTTTGAAATTTAAAAAAATGCATTTCTTTTATGACCAACGAACCACCCAAATAATTTTGTCTTCTGTGATTTTGTCATAAAGTATGCTTTCAATTTTTGAAAGCTACTAAAAACCAGCATTGCAAAAAAAGAACAAAATTGTATTTTTTAGACTTCTTGGTCCAACTTGAAGCAGAAAAGCCAATTCAAGGCTCTCTAGATATAGAAATAAAATTCAATCAAAAATTGATTTGACCTGTCAAAAATTGACAAATGACATATGTATGTATTCGGAATTTTATTTTCAATCAAAATATGTAAAAATGCACAGGGTGTTTCATTAAAAAATAAAAAGTTAAGACCATTTCCGGTGATACCGGAAGTGACGAAAATATGTTAAATATGTCAAAAATTTACTAGACAATGGCATTTTCATTAAAAAAATAATAATTCCATGACTTAAAAATATGAAGTAAAAAAAAATGTGGCAATGTCAAAATTTTGCCCTCAATTTTTATTGCCTTTTTTAGAAAAAACAATTTAAAAAAAAGAGAAAATTTTTCAAAAATTTACTACGGGTGGACAAAGCAAAAAAAACTGTACAAAAAATCTATAAAAAATAACGACCTCAATTAAAAACATTTAATCATTTTTAAATTGATATAGGACCTGGGTCAGTTTTATTAAAGAGCCGAAATCTTTTTATTAAATTATTCAAGTGAGATTTATTATAGCACTTGCGTCATCATTCATTATTTGTCTATTATAAAACCTACCTCGGCTTTTTCATCGTTTGAAACGGGATAAACATCATCACAGCTACTGGATCCACTTTTATTATGACTACTACCACCGGACACTGCAGTGTGATTTACCATGCTCACTATAGCGACATGGAGATTGACCTTAAGGCCGTATATGAGCCCTAAGCCACTTGAGCCCAGTGTGGCCATAAGGTACCTGTAACCATCTGAAAAAATATTTTTTTTATTGTAAAAGAATGTTTTCGTTTTGTTTTGGAATTTCTTACTTCCTTTCCCGCGCGCTTCTTTCTCCATTTTTTCTCTAAAATAAATTAACAGGTAAGTTTTACATTCAAAGTCGATCAGACACGCTCACACTGTACGGAGAGAATAACTTTTTTCTTATTATAATATACTATTTTAGTAATACAATAACTGGGTAATAATAAAAATATCTACAATACGCTATTAGTAAAAATTTTAAATTGGCAACATATGGAACAAAAATATACCAAAATAACTTCTTAAAAAAGCTATAAAACCAATTTATGCATATTTACATACCTTTCAATTAATTGCCGGCGTATTTTTAAACACGTAACGAACAAACTCAAGGTGATACCGACAAACTGAACTGAGAAAACCCGGCAGCCTACTGGATGCTCGGAGTTCTTCCCGCGTCAAGGTGACCCATGAAAACATCTGAAAATCGACCGCCGCACCCCGCGTGCGGCGCGTCAAACCAACGCGCAAGCACGCACGACCGAAAACGCACGTAAATCCTTTGAAATGAGTTCGACATTTCTGAAATATGGTGCAATGTTTTATTTCTCAAGATAAAAAAAATCGTGAAAATATTTTATATTTATTTTTTTGTTTATATACAAACAGTACAAATTACATACGTACATAATATGTTAAATAATTTACCATTTTCGATATTCTGAATATCTTCTATTTTTAGCAATAATAATAAAATAATTGACTTTTGTGTCCTTATTCTAAAAAAAATAAACCATTTAAAAGTCCTTATCTTTTTTATACGTAATTTGACAGAAACGCAAAATTAAGGTTGTTGATAAATAAATAACAGTAGGCCGTGATTATAAATTCAGCAGTGCCAATGTAGTAAAAATAAAACGTTGTATTTTAATTAACAAACTATTACTTTATTACAAATTAAAGTAGGTATCATGAAAAAGCAAAAACAACATACAAATTAAATAAGTAACAATATAAATTGTGAATTTTTTGTTATAATGGCAAAGTTGAGGTTTAAAACCATCATAGTTATTTGTTTCTTAAGTTGGCAGTACCAAATTTAAAATGTCAATTTTAAAAGTGTTTGCAAGATTTCTATACGAAGTATAATCAATTCTGACTTGCTGCAAAAAAGTATGATATTATTTGTGAATGTGTCTGAGGCCTCACAAAATCATCATTCAATGAAAACTTTTCAAATGAAGATACTAACTTGACTTTTATATGGTAAGTGTTTTCCTTTAAAATTTTTGTCCGGTTTCTAATGAAATTTACGAAATTTGTAGCGGCAGCAAAATGTAATTTGACGGAAACCCAAAGTTAAGAGTTGATAAATAAATAACAGTAGGCTATGGCCGCCACGATAGGAAATTCAGCGGTGCCAATGTGGTAACAATAAAACGTTGTATTTTAATTAACAAATTACTAATTTATCACAAATTAAACTATCATTAAAAAATCAAAAGCAACATAAAAATTAAGTAAGTAACAATATAGATTGTTAATTTGTTGTTATAATGACAAAATTATGGTTTAAAACTGTCATATTTATGTGTTTGTTAAGTTGGCATTACCAAATTCAAAATGACAATTTTAAAAGTGTTTTGCAAGATTTCTATACAAAGAAGAATCAATTTCTGACTTGGAATCTTTTCAAATGAAGATACTACCTTAACTTTTATATAGTAAGTGTTTTCAATTTAAAATTACCACTAAAACTTTGTAAAATTAAGTACTTAATACCTGTCAAATTTCGTATAAAATAGACTAACAAACCTAACAAAACAATTCAACAACATAAAACAATATTTTAGAGAGAGATATATAAATAATAATTTAAATCCTTTGAGGGAATGTTAAAAAGTGAAATTTAACTTGATTAAATTCGAGAAAGAGCAGTCTAAAGAGTCAAACCTGTATCTAAGTCAAGTATCTGCTTGCACAGCTCGTAAGTGCTAAAACTGACCGCGACCATCGGTATGGCGCGCATGTAGTTGATCGACATGCCTCTGTACAGTCCCCTGACCAATCCGTGCTCCTTGTAGATGTGCCGCAAGGTCGTGAACGTGCCTTTAGCGTAGTGCGCGGTCGCCGGCGACAGCATGGCCAGCTGCATGCGCCTGCGCGTCACGTCGAGCGGGTAGCTGACGGACTGCGCAGCTGCGCCGGCCAGGCCGCCGCAGATCAGCTTCGCCGGCAGCAGCAGCACCAGGCCGCCCGTGTTTTTTTTGCAAGGTCTGCACGTTTGCGACGGTACGTACTTCATGCAGCCCCACTTTAAGTACTCGAAGCAGTAGAAGGACAGGCCGGCGTAAGGGACCATTCCCATCAGGGTGGGCACGAAGCCGCGGTAGAGGGCGCGCGCGCCGCCTTCTTCCTTGAAGATCGTGACCGCCGCGTGGGCGATTCCCGTGTAAACGTGCTCCCCACTTATCTGCAAAGTTTTTTATGTCAAAAGAATTGTCAACAATACATTTAAAGCCAAGATTATGCATCATTTTTAAATAAATACGTAGTTTTTTCACAAAAGAGAAGAAGGCAGAAGTTTTACTCGACAAATTTTGTTCAATTGCACAGCTAAATCGCTCACGTTATTTGTGTTTTACGTTGCAACTTTTTTAGTACTCGATTTGATTATTCCTTATATCATTGATTAAGAAACTCAACGCTTAGATGCTTATATAGTTACGTTAGTGTGTGTATTTTATCCAAGGGATCATGGTGAATTATTGTGTTTTTAATTGTAAATAAAATCCAAGAACTAAATCGTTGCATTTTCATGTTTTGCCAAAGGATCCAATTCGGTAAGTACATTTGTTGGTGCAGAATTAAATAATGATAACTTTACCTAATATAATTTATATTTACGTTTGGACGTTTAAGAAATTAGCAAAAAATAATTTTTGCACAAACATAACATTAAAATCAACCATTTTTATATTTGAGTTCTCTTAAAAACGCCGACAACTGCATTTAAAAAAAACAAAATAAACCTACGAATTCATGGCAAGATAATATATATAAAACATAATATAATGGTATTTTACCGCTGAGTGGAGACTTTCTTAATCAACGCTTTTAATAATGCTAAATGCTGTTTAAATTTAGACGACTTATTTGTTTGACGATTTTTACTAAACTGAAATGTTTACACTTTTCGCGTTAATCACTACTAAAATGTTTATTTATTGTATCTAATAGGTACAATTTATATTTACAGAGACTGTATGCAATTTATTTCTTCATTCAGATTAACACTGTTTATTGGAAAACCGTTAAAACTCAACCCAGGATTTCCTCTCGAAATACACCCAACACGACAAATCTAGTCAAGTTTTTTTTCCGATATTTTTTAACATTTTCCGGTTTTATTCTCAAAAACAGTCGTTTGTAAAATAAGCGTCTGACAGCTGATTATTAAAGTTTTACTTTTGTTACGATGATAACAGCCGAGTGGTGGCGCTACTAGCGATACTTCTTTAGCGTATAAATTTCCTATTATTCTGTTTGAATTTGTAAGTGGAAGGTTGAGGGTCAGTGTACCTTTCACTAAATACATAGTGTCTTTTTATTTCGCCCTAATAGTCGAGCGTAGTCTAGTCTACTAGACCACAGCGTAGCGGTTAGGTAAGTTTTTTATTTCTTATTTTACTAATGCAATTGACATCTATAGAAAATATTTTAGCAGCAAGATTTGAAAAATGGGATCTTGATTTGGATAATTTGGATAGTGACGGCGACTTCGACAAATCTAGCTAGAGACTTTAAAAACTGGCAGTGTACGCAAAACTTTAAAGAGAGAAAGCATTCGAAAGAAAAGAGATGCATGATATGGCCGATCTCGGCCGCACAGAGGACTAATAAAGGTTGAAATATCAACATTATTAAAGTTGTTTAAGAGTAAAAAATAGAAAATTAACTATTATATACAATTTATACAATTAGAATAGAGTTATATGTATTTAAGGTAAACAAGAATTTCTTATAAAGTTAAGTTATGTTTAATGCAAATAAAAATAGGTTATAATCCTTTTAAAAATTTGTGTTAGGGTTAGGTACGTTTTTATTGATATAAGTATTAACAAATGATGGTAAATTGACAATTATTTTTAAAAAGCCTAGTAGTGAGAAGCCGCTTTATTGATAATGGATTTTAAATCAAAATTAAAATGTAAAGTTTTGTCAGAAAAGAAAGAACCGGCGTTGAATTTTCAAGGGATAATATTAATAATTTTTTTATACTTGATTTACTTTCATTTTAATTCAATCCTAAGACAAACTCTACGTCTCTAGCTAGATTTGCCGAGCTGTACACACGAGTACTGAATACTGCAACATGTGAAATTGCAGATGAAGAACAGCGTCTCACCTGAAACGCCAGCCTGGCCCTGATGGTGTCCAAGGGGTACGTCAAAGTGACAGCTGTCAAACCGGCCGCGGCACCCGCTATAAATTTGTCGATGTGAGACCCTGCGCCGAAAACGCCGTCTAGATATCTTTTGTACATCTCGAAGGAGGTGAACTGGGTGGCCGCGTAGGGAAAAATTCGCACCATCTGGGCTCCGTTGCCTTTGTAAAGGGCCCATGGTGATTCCGTTTTTATTATGTGCTTTATTCCCGAGTAGACCCCGTGCGATTCGTGGTGTCGGTTATGGGCTTGCAGTAGAATTTTCACCCTGTCCAAAGGGGCAACTGTTGTTTTCGATACCATACCGGCTATTCCTAAAATATTGTTTTATAATTATATAATTATAGTCAAAGGAACTAAATGTAAAAAGTTTTGCCTATAAACAATTATGTCGAAAATTTAAAGCCCTACCCAGCAAACACAACCGTAAAGGTTCTTTAATGGCAGTCAATAAAGGCATTTACAAGAACCATTCCATTTTTTTATATGGCGCGCTAAAGGTTTTGATATGGCAGATTAAAGGTACAAATGTGGAAAGCTAAAATTTCTGATATGGGGTGTTAAAGATTCTATAGTGGTTATTTAATAGTATAATAAAGAACTAATGTCATAAGACGTCATTTTGTCGCACGCGGACGAGTGCGACAAAAGGTCTTATGACATGAGTTCTTTATGCTATTTTATCTGTTTTGCAAAAATTCTATAAAAAAATTAATTTAATACCTTAAATTTAATTTGGTCGAATTTTACTTTAGATAGTTGGTATCACAGTCATTGGTTTGACAGTTAATTTCAAAATCGATTCGCCATGCCGTCCTTAATTTACTTATTTACAATAAGCGGCTGTTAATGTTAAAGAAGAAAAAAGGATTTTCTTTGGTGTTAAACAAAATGTATTGCCAGAAAAGTCTCGTAAGTACTAGAAAAATCATAAAAATATTATAACCAATATGCAAAATATTATGGTGTTTAAAGAATAGCCAACCTATAAAATCAAAATTTTGGGTGGGATAAAGTATCTCATTACAGCACCGAAAGCGGTGTTTTAATGAAGTCATTATGAACGCAAAATAGATAAATAATTTTTAATGGTTAATTTTTAATGGTAGTAAGGGATATTTCATGATAATCAGAAATTGTTATCCCTACCGTCACAAAACAATTTATGATAATCTTGGAATAATAAAATAAATGCTTTACTTATCCATTACATTAATTAATATATTATCGTAAAATGTAATACTAAAACATACATAAATTTACAAGAAAAAATACAAATAAGTTGTAATAAGAAAAATATATATGAAAATTTTATTTTAAAAACTGTTAATTAGGTAATAAATGGAATTCATAATATTTAAATAAATAAAAAAATGCCATTAGCCATGAAACTATGTAATGGGCCATTACATAATCAGACTTATGTGTTTGCTGAGTACATTTTTTGTTTTATCAATTTTTTTGTTTAACCAATACAAAATGAGATAAAACGATTTAAACTAATCTTTAAGAGGTGAGCCAACAAAAAAATTCTGCCCAAAAAGGCAAAAATAAAGATTTCAATTTTTTCAAGCGTTTTTTATGTAAACCTATATTTAATACATATTTTTACATTTTTTAATATTAATAAATGTTTAACCATTGTGAAATCAGAAAACAGCTTTTCATCTATTGTTAATTTATTTATTTAAATGCATACAAATATTTAGAAAGCAGATAATTATTTAAATAATTAACTTAATATACAGTATGTCCGGTTTTTGAGGCTTTGAAATACAACCTTTAAAAACAGACACTCTGTATTAATATATATAATTTATTTTTTACGTTGCAGATAAACTATCAGTGCAAAATGCAAAATAAAATAAATTATTAAAAAAAGTGCCCATGAATAATTTATGGTATAAAAACGCGATAAAATTGTAATTAAATGTTTAAATAAACTGATAAAATAATATTAAACAGAAACTCACCCCCACAAAGCAAATTCTTGCACACAAACTGAAAATTTTTGTTTTCCGTCACCGCCATGATGTCTTGATTTGTTTACTTATTAATAATTTTTCTTCTTACACTAAACAATTCGCTAATAAATACGTCTGCAGGTGGAATTATTAAACTTTCTCCCAGCCGTAACATCCTCATCACGTTCTGAAAGTTAAATAAATTGCTGTAAGCCTATTCACACATATTAGCACTGAATCGCGCGTTTTCACTTTTTAAATTTAAATTTAGCCCATCTCGCTGGCATCAAGTGGCCGTGGCGAGATTCTCCGTGCAATTGTTTCGCGCGATTTCGAAATTTGCCACCGCTAACTTGATGCGTCTTTAGAAACAGCGGAAACAAAAAACATTCTAAATATTCCAGGCACGTTGACCCGGCAACCTTGACCTCGCAGTTAAACCTACTGACACACATCATATTTAAAATTTTATGTATGTGTACAATACACGCAGTCAAACATTTTAATGCCAAATCGCATAATAACATTTAATTTAACACAAAAAAATCAAATCATCCATGTAAAATAAGTAAGGTTATGTGCGTAAAATTCGATATATTGCATAATTACTTACATTGTCATGTCTGGAAATTTGATAAAATCAATTCTTTGTTTAATAACGTAGAATTTTGCATTCACATTTTTTCGATGCACTCGGGAAATTTTGAGAAATCACTGTGAAATCGCGGCTTTTAAATAACGTCGCCAGAGAGAACGTCGCTCTGACGTGCCGTCAGCTACGTTGCCACTTCTCCATTTAACAAGTTTCTTTTTTTTATCTGGACTGCGACAACGTTGCAAATTAAGGAGTTTGGTTGGTAGTTTGACTACCTTTATGAAGATGTCGCTGTAAACTAAGTACTGTAGGGACTTTGAGCCTTTAGGTTGGTAGCTCGAAATATCGGCCATGCGGTATTCAAAATTTTCAATATTGTAAAATTTGACAGTTCTAAACAAAATACAATTTGTTCTTTGTAAGTGTAATTTAAACTGTTTAAATAAAACAAACAAGTGTGACCAGTGTGAACAGGAGTTGTAGGGATTTGAAGTTTGGAAGCTACCACTAACCTTAAAGTTTATCTGATTTTTCAAAATTTTAATTAATTAAAAGTATTTCTACCCAGATTTGTATGTATGATATGAATGAAATAAAACAAGTTAGTTAGGCATTTCTTTATTATAGTCGATATGTAACCATTATGTATTTATAATATATTTTTCACGGCTCTATAACGTAAATATAACTCTTTCCACACGTAATGTATAAAACGAAAATTATATAAAACAATTATATAATATATCATGTAACATCTTGTTAATACCAAGTAACTGGAATGTTTTGGTACCTATGTACTTAGGTATGGAACAAAGTTATATGACATTGAAGTACATTTTTATCTTTTCTATGTTACAATAGCAAGTATATATTGTACATTTTTTTTTATATATATATAGGTTGTATAATAATGGCAATTTTTTAAAAAGTATATACCAAATTTAATTTATAATTTAAGAGAAGTTTGTATGTGCTTTTCAAAAAATATTGGAGAAATAATTTTTCATAATGGTACATTTAGTGTGTTATTTGAAGCACTTTTTTATAATATAGTTTTGCGAAAATATTAAAAAATACAAAACTTGATTGTTGTGGGCAAAAGTTACATACTTATGTAAATAAACAAACAATACATATTTTCCCTATTGTCATTTTAAAAATAAACGTTTAGGCCAGCTATATATTGCTTTGTGAATGTTGCAAAATATTTAACAAATCTAAAAATTTGTCGTAATTTTACCTTTACCAAGTATAATAATAATTATTAAAACTACAAATAGAATAACAGAAATTAATAAAGCATAATTAAATAATGAAGGGATAAAAAGATTTCACAGGCACCCTAGGTTACAATTTTTATAGCAAATATTACTTTACACACATTCGCGTTGCAAAAATTGCTTTACCGCAAAATAAAATGCATATTTATATAATTCCTATTCTTTGCAAGAACCCCTCAAGCTCAATTCAGTAGGATTTCACCGATATCAAAGAATGAAAACTTTTCCAATACATGAATGCACTATAATTGCGCTACAGGGTGATGCGGCATTTTGAGGAGCCCTTTTGGACGAGTGTTCGACTTTTCCTTATCAGTACATTTTTATCGGAATAGAAGAACATTCTGCACATTTATTATAATCAATTCCATATAGGTACTAACAGTTTTTTATTCGATTATCTTCGGGATCCAATCGAATGTTTACGGCGATTTTTATAGCATGTTTCACAACCATTGGTCAAGTAAATTTATGCACAGCAGTAGGCTGTCATATTATGATAAAAAAATATGTCAAAATGTTTACTCTTCTTAAGAGTTAAGAATTCTACATAAAAAACAAATTGGATTTAATAATACCTTCACATAACACACAATTTTATTGATATCAGTTTATTTTACCTCCTTATTAGTTATTGTTATGTATGTTATTAGAATTTAAACGTTTAGATGCAATTGTATTAAGGCCTTTCCATCTCAAATGAATTTTTTCTAAAGAATTTGAAGAAAATACAATTTAAAAAAATGTGTGAATTCACTTAATTTTTTATATATTTATTTGTATGCAGTAAACATTTACCTACAATTAAAAAAAAATGTAAAAAAATTGGTTGAAAAATAATGATCAACCCCTTTTTGACTGGTCGTTTTGAGATGGAAAGACCTATTACCAACTGTTGATAATAAAATGTATCAAAACAGGAAGCGCCATCTAGCTTATGGGTTTGTTCCATGTTTTTTTATTGTGTTCCATGATAAGAACAAACACGAAACTTATTGGTACCGTAAAAATTGGTTTGGATCTTGAAGAACCACATATACAAACCTAAGAGTTAAACATCGATTATTGTCCCAGTTGCAACGGGCTGAGCACGATGCCGCTGTGAGTTTTTCTGTCGCCAGATGGCGGCGGCGGCGCCAGCGAACCCCCCACCTCCGACTTTTTGTCGTCGCTGGATTCACTGTTGTCGTTGCGTTCGATGACGACGCTGAGCGTCGTGGTTTCCACGTCGTCGCCGTTGCCCGCGTTGTTGCCGTTGTTGGCCGGTTGTCGGGCGCGCGCGTGCTTTTTCGTCGGCTCGAGCGTCGGCGTGCCGTCGTCGCCCGACGACGACGACGACGCCGACGACACCGACTCGATCTCGTAGGCGAGGTCGAGGCTCTGCAGCTCGATGATCGAGTCTTCCCGCGAGGTCTTGGCCTCCTCGACGTCCGGAAGGTTTATCTGCGGTATGCTGATTTTTCTGCACAAAATTAATTTCAAAATGTCAGAATTATCACTCAAAAGGGATGGCAATTCCGAAATAGTTATTTGTTTTACAAGTGTTGAAAAGCGACTTTTTCATGCGAGTTTTTAAGTTGCCCACGAGGCCGTCAGGCCGAGTGTGCATTAACACGAGCTTGAAGAAAGCTTTTCTCACAAGTATAACACAATGTTTTTTCTGCGACCCTTTTATTTTTTATTATTTTTAAATACAAAACAAAATAACCTAAAAACTTTTTTGACAGCTGAATGTCAAACGATGCTTTCCGGTTCTTTTCACACAGACCTGTCACTTATCACACAGACATGTCACTTTACATTCGTGTTTTGCCTTGCCAATGAAAAGATTCATTTTCTAAGCAACGATGCCATCATGAAAAGTGACTTTTACATAGTGGTCATAGAAAAAACAATTTTTTAGCACTTTTTAAAATTGTCATTTCAAATTTCGTGCTGCCAACTTACTTAAGCCCTAATTAAGAAAACCCAAAATATGACAGTTTTAAACCATTATAACAGCAAATTAACAATTTATTTTGTTACTTATTTATTTTTATGTTGGTAACGACTCTTGTGCTGTTTATACAGATTAATAATCGTGTTAACCTTAGTGTCTCTTACAGAGGCACTTGTGAGCCTCAAATGAGGCCAAAGTGCCAAGGGCAACCATTTTACTGCTCTTTTGTAAAATATAAATCTTATTCTACGAGGGCTGTCATCAAACTGTCAAATGTCAATTTTAAGGTTAATTTGTGGCTATGGTAAATTTGTGGGTTATGGTAAATTAACCTTAAAATTGACATTTGACAGTTTGATGACAGCCCTCGTAGAATAAGGTTTATTTGTTACAAAAAAAGAGTAAAATGGTTGTCCTCGGTACTTTAAGGCGTCATTTGAGGCTCACAAGTGCCTCTGTAAGAAATACAACGTTTAAAACGATTTTTAATCTGTATGAACAACACAAACCCAAAGCATAAAGCTTAATTTGCATGTATCCGTTTGTCCGTTATACGTTTGTACGTTTGTACGTTTTTCAATAAAATCGTCCGATAAGAAATGTTCTAATTTTCATGCATCCGTTTTTTAATGACGTTTAACGGATTGATTTGGCGACAAATAAAAATTAAGGGTCAGTATATTCACTTTACTAAATTTACCTAATGCTTAATTGTCATAGTTACAATTATGTTAACAATTGTAACTTTAACAGTTAGCTGTCTAATAAATTTAAAGGTAGGTAAATATACCATATAAAAAGAATATACTAGCCTTAATTTACATTAAAATGTATAGTTTTAAAAAAGCAGGTCCTTTTAGTTCTAGTTTTAATATTTTATTGTTTGTCTTTTCTTTTTTTCTGTTATTATTATTAAATAAAAACATAAAAGTAGAACATTATTCACATAACGAACGTTATATTTCCGTTTTACAATCTTATTAAAAGAATATTAAAAGATTTGAAAATAAAGTTTCCTAAAATAACGTTAGGCGTCAAAAACAGATGTGTAGTGAAAGATTAGTTAAAATTATTTTAAATTTCTCCGTCAGACGTACGAAGTTAAAACTTGACGGACGGAAAAAATGTCATAATTTTTGAATTATAATTGGACCAATAAGAGCGCTCCCGGATGAACGGACTAACGGATACATGAAAATTAAGCTTAAGGAATGTAAACAACATATATGTTTTTATAAAAATGGCCGCCGTTA